ACGAAACTGAAGTTATCAAACTTTTGTTAAACAGATAATGAATGAAACAGAGACACAAAGATTTTGAGTAATATCCATATCCCACAATAAGACTTTGGAGTTAGTACCTCTTTTATACTCAACAAATTCTTGAATATCACCAATTTAGTCTCTTCTCTACCTTTGATTCTGCAGGACACAGTAATTAAAGAGAAGATTCAGAGAGGAAAAAGCCTTTATGATCACTTCCAATAAAGTACTAACTCTTCCACACCTCTATGTCAGTAAGTATGTCCCTCTTCAATCTGATAATAATACATATTCAAGTTGGAAAACTAATCTAATTCTTAGCACTGCTGAACTTTGCCTTCCAGTGAAGTATTTTTGGGGTAAAATGCCTGCCTGTGATGGTTCAGTGGTCAGAATTCATTGTCCATTTTATTCATGTTCAGAGAATAATATATTCTCTGAATATATATATATATATATATATATATGTATGTATGTATATATATATAGCTGTTTCTTACGTTAAAGACATAAAAATTTAAAAGCACTGAATATAGTACTATGTACCCAGTAAAGAGTTAAGTAAAAAAAACAATGATAATTCATTTAGAAAGAGAAAGAGAAAACTTAGTGGTAGAATCAATATGGGAGACCACAGGAAAGGCACAGAAATATTACAGAATCACAGAACGGTAAGTTGGAAGGGACCTCAGGGGCCGAATCCATACCTAGCCAGGAATCCACTTTGCATGACTAAGTGGTTATCCAATCTATGCTTGAAGATCTCCAGGGAAAGGAAATCCACTAGCTCCTGAGGCTCCCCTTCTAGGGATAATTTTGGATAATTTTAATCGTTGGAAAGTTTCCCTTACATTAATACTAACTGCCAGAAAGAACCACTTCCACTCATCGTTTCTAGTTCTGCTCTCTGGTACCAAACAGTAGGCTAATTCCTTTTCTATAAGACAGCCCTTCAAATACTCAAAGACTACTATCATGTCCCCTCTTCTTCACACTAAACATTCTCAGTCTCTTTAACCATTCTTTGTATAGCATGGTCTCTACCCTTCTCATCTTCCTCTTCACTTTATTCTCAACCCTCTCTAGTTTATCTATATTCTTCCTAAAACATAGTAGCCACCTAATAGTCCAGATGTGGTGGATGGGGGCAGCATTTAAGAAAACTATCACATCTCTTGCTCTCTTAACACAGCCTAGACTAGCATTAGCTCTTTAGGTGACCATGTCATAGCACTGATTAAGCTACTAACCTTTCAGTCAACTAACCTATGCACACTCCCCATACCCTCCCACATAGAGTACTTTAAAAAAAATTTTTTATATGGGAGAATTTTCTCAGGGAAGGCAAAGGGTTGTTTTTTCTGCTGCACCCACCTATTACCTCTCATCTCTTCCAAGGAACCAATCATATAACTGCCCAGCTTCAGAATCATACACATTGACTATGAAAGTTCTTGGAAAATGAAAACATATTTTAGAAATGCCAGGCATTATTGGGGGATTTTTTGTTTTTAGGCAATTGGGGCTAAGTGACTTGCCCAGGGTCACACAGCTAGTAAGTGTCAAGTGTTTGGTCTGAGTCTGGATTTGAACTCAGGTCCTCCGGACTTCAGGGCTGGTGCTCTATCCACTGTGCCACCTGGCTGCTCCTCAGGCATTATTGTTAAAGCCCAAATTAACTATTTCTAGCCTATCCTTGTGTTACACAAAACCACCTTAGGCACTCTGAAGTCAAATCCTTTAATGGGGGTAGGGGAGCCCAGGGAATAGAAGAACAGGTCAGATATACTCTAGACAGAGAACTAAAGCATTAAGGTTGTTCTCCTGCACTGCCAGAGTCTATCCAAAGAACCTTTAGGATACAGAGTATGTCCAGTACATGCTATATTCACTGATTATTTTCTCAAGGAGAATATGGCTATACCCTCTTCTGCCCCACAGAAGCTTAAGGAACCTCTCTCCCCACTACCCCAGCCTAGCACATGACAGAGTCCAAACACTAAATCCAAGTTTATTCGTGTCAACTGGGAGTTGTTGCATTACACCCTGCAGTAGCCACACAGGAGTGTTTCCAAATACCACAGTGGCAGCACTCTAGGGGTGTGCTTGGCATGAGTCAGAGGTGATGAAGAAAAGTGAAGAAAGGTCAAAACTCTGACACTTCCACTGGCCTCCCAGCTGTCACTCTGCTAAGCACATTATTACCTCAGCCTCATTCGTACTCTGGGCTGTGGTTAACCAAGTTCCTGTTGTCAGCTAAGAATAGAAGAGGGCTAAAATCCACAGTACTGATTATCATGGTGCTATTTGTATTTATTATGTCCTTTTGTTCGCACAATAGATACATTCCTGAAAACTTGTTTTCAATTTTTTTTTAATATTTATTTTCTGGTAAAGCAGAGCTTACTATAAACACAGTTAGGTACTTAAAGGAAATGTGTGATGAATCTATCCCTCCACCCAGAAATGAATTCTTTTTGCAATGGAATGTTCATCTCCTAATTCAGGTTCTTAAATGTCAAGCACTGGGGTATACCTATATCTGAAAGGCTTTTCTTATCATTCTGGTTTATCATTTAGACTTGGCCTGGCAGCATCATACTCTACCTTTTAAGGGAAACAGACCCAGAGGGTAATAATAATAGCAAATAATAGGTGACATTCACATAGCACTTGGTAAGGCACTTTCAATAAACTATTTCATTTAGTCCTTATAACAAATTGTTATCCCGATTTTACAGAGTAGGAAACTGAAGCTGAGAGATTAAGTGACATATCCAAAGTCATATAGCTGGAGGGCAGAGATTGTCTCTTGTCTTTCTTTGTACCCCCAGTGCCACACACATAGTAGGTGCTTAATAAATGCTTATTTATCAGCCAACTGAAATGTTGAACTCAGATCTTCCTGAGTTCACATACAGTGACAAATTAAAGGAACTTGGCATGTTTAATCTGGAGAAGAGAAGACTCATGGGGGGGGGGGGGACTAGGGGATTAGATTTGCTTTGTTTGTCCCCAGAGGACAAAATCAAGAGTAGATGGAAGTTATAAAGAAACCAATTAAGGTTTGCTGTCAGGAAAAAAATTCTTAATAATTGTTTTTATTCAGTCATGTCTGATTCTTTGTAATCCCATTTAGGATTTTCTTGGCAAAGATAATAGACTAGTTTGCCATTTCCTTCTCCAGTTCATTTTACAGATGAGGAAACTGAGGCAAAGAGGGTTAAGTAACTTGCCCAGGGTCACACAACTACTAAGTGTCTGAGGTCACATTTGAACTGAGGTCTTCATGACTCTAGGCCCAGCACTCTATTCACTGTGCCACACAGTTGCCCTCTTCCTAATAATTAGAGTTCTCCAAAAATGCAATAAGCTATCTCAAAAGGTCATGATTTCCCCTTCCTTAGGGATCTTCCAGCAGAGGCGGGATGGCCACTCACAAGGTATGTTAGAGTGAGGATTCCTTGTGTGTTTGAGATGTACTCCATGATTACTGAGACACTTTGGGACCCTCGAATCCTGCCATTTCTGACTCCAAGTCCAAAGCTCTCTCTGTTACATCAAATTGTCTCCCACGTAAGCAAGTAGGGTGGGGATTAGATATCATGTCCCTTTGGGTTCATCTCCTTGTCCTAGCCAACAGTATAATCCCTGTAAAACACAGTGACTCTCCCATGAAAGGATGATTACTAATGACTTACCCAGGAAAGAGGCACACCCAGTATAATTAACCTATTAACAAAACAGGCAGTGGTAGGGGTAGGGTCCTCCTCAGCCTTTGCTCTTGGTTTTTAGCTAAACCAGCAACTTATTCTTTCCTTCCCCTTTGGGTTACCTGAGGTCTTTGCTCCAAAGAAAGATGGCTCTTTCAATTGTCTTCCACCCCACCCCCGTTAGGGATTTTCTTTTTTTAATGCTAAGTTTCTACCTGCTGCAACAGCTCCAGGAAAATGTTGCTTCCTAAGGCATCGGTGTGGCCTAGCTACAAGCTTTTAAAAAGTGCACAGGTGTGCTACAAATGGGGCTAATGAGCAATGCATTCTTTCCTTATAAATCCTTCAGCTGAAAGCCTACTGAGCCAGCTTGGCAATAGGCACATGGACAAGGATGGAAGACTGCCTACCTTTGGGATTCTTCACTTCCTGGAAAATATGGCTCTAGAAGCATAGCTTGGCAGTCGTGGGCTCTGAACAGCAGCAATAAAAGGTGGTGAAAGGCACTGCTAGCAAGAATTACTGACGAGGCTCCTTGGTGATGACTGTCTGCCCATCTCCATTATTATGTGTTCCTCCCTCCACCTCCAACCCCAGGAGAAGAGGAAGAATCTGGAGATTTAGGGTGTCTTCTTTCTCACCTCAGGGATTTGCTCTCAAAACAAATGATTAAGTCTTGATTAAGGAAAGAGGAAATCAAGGAGTAAACTAATCAATGAAAATAAACCATTCATTCAAACAAGAGGCTTATTACCAAGTGAGAATTTTTTTTTTGGGGGGGAAGGGAGGTGGGGAGAATCACCATGAAATTATCTACTATCCTGACTCTGCTATGTGACCTTTCTGGGGGCTTCAGTTTCCTCCTCTGTAAAGGAAGGGGGTTGGACTAGATGACGTCTGAGGTCCCCTCCAGCTCTAAATCTACAGTCCTTCTGAGGGCTAGAGAAGGTCAATTTGCACTGTGGACCATGTAGACACATGAATTCACAGCTCCTTTAATTACTGAAATATTCAAATAAGAAATGTGAATTGAACTTGATGATGTCCCTGACTAGAGTCCTACTTCTTTCTGGAAAGCAAACTGCTGTGCACCATGGAAAACAATTTTTCCATTCCCAGTTGTGCAATTCACCAGCTTGTGTGTATGACATAAAGAACTCGGATCCCAGCACTAGTTACTCCAAGCCTTGATACATTAGGGCTCGTTGCATAACGCAACAAAACTGATATATGCTTCTTCTTTCTCATAATACCTATGAGACAGCATGAATCACTTACCAGAGCTTTCTTGCAAGAGATGAACTTTGGTAGCAATAATCTGTCATGATTTCAACTGTTTAAAGAAGCTTCTTGTGGCTTTATGTGTTGTCCATTTCTAATACTCCTTGTTCCTCGAGTCCAAAGCAACATAGTCTTCTGAAGGAATCTTAGAATAACAATACAAGGGCAGCTTCTAATACACATACACAACAAAAGACAGTCAAAAACTCCATATCCCACTGACTAAAGCACTAAATACTTGTTTTTCCAGGATTAACAAAAAGTGCGGGTGGTACCTGCATATGCTTTTGGTGCCAAATCAGACTTGCTGCAAAAAAACAAATACAAAAACCCATACTTCTGCCCACCCAAACCTGATTACTCACAAAGTAAAAAAGACCAATAACCCTACATGTTTCATTTTCAGGATTCATTTTTACTCTCTAGCTCCATCTCCTGGGACTCCCTTAAAACCCTGATCTTTTGGTTGTACATTGCCCATCCAAGAAAAAAAAACAATGTTCCCATCTTTTCTTTAAAGGTTTTAAAGGCTTAGTCTACTTCTATTAGTTGGAAAGAAGAGTGAATATGAGGAGACTGTGTCTACTCTTTAGAACTGCTTCAAAGACAACTATAGACAATTATAGCATTTTAGAGCTGAAGAGATCTCAAACAATAATAATTACCATGAGTGATTATGGATAAGTCACTTCATCTGGCTAATCCTCAGTTTCTTTATTTTTAAGATGGGGGTGAAAATATCTGCACTATCTACCTTACAGGGTTGTTGTCAGGAAAACCTAAAGTACACCCATTTTACAGATAGTAAACTGAGGCCTAGAAAGGTGAAATGATTCTTCTAGATGACAGCTGATTAGTTTCAAAGGTCAGAGTAGAAAAGAGGCCTCTTGACTTCCTGGTCAGTGTTTTTTCTATGACAGAAAGAGAGTAGAGATGGATGATAGAGGGACAGTGACCCATTATTATAGAATCACAGGGCTTAGTGGAACCTTGGGGGGTCACATCCTGAATTCATTAGAGGCAATCTATTTGGAAAGAATGCTGGATTTGGGGGACATGGGTTCTAGTTCTTACTGCAGGTAACTTGCTTCATGATCTTAGGTTAATTATCTGGGTATCTTTTATCACCCATAAAATGAGAGGATTGGATCTCTACTGTCCCTGATGTGTCTGACATTCTATATAAGCTCCAAAGTATTTATATCTTCTCTGACAAATGAGATTTTTATCATATTTTAAAGACTTTTGGGGAAAAAGATACCACAACCTCCCTCAATAATCCATTCGAGTGTTTAAAATTTTTCACCATGACTTTTTCTTTTATGTCTCATTAAAATCCCTGAAGCTTAGTTCCATTTCTTCACATGCATTTTTGAAGTAGGGGATGGTATTCACCATACTCTCTGTAAAATTCCTAAATGCATTTGAAAACTCTGTAAGCCTTTGAAAGCAAAGAAAACAGCAAGCCGTTGATAATGTTACCCAGCAGTGGGATTTTTGATAACCTTTTCTATGTGAAAAAGAAAGAAAGAAAAGAAAAGAAAGAAAAGAAAAGGAAGAAAAGAAAAGAAAAGAAAGAAAAGAAAGGAAGGAAGGAAGGAAGGAAGGAAGGAAGGAAGGAAGGAAGGAAGGAAGGAAGGAAGGAAGGAAGGAAGGAAGGAAGGAAAGGAGAGAAAGAGAGAGAGAGAGAGAGAGAAAGAAAGAAAGAAAGAAAGAAAGAAAGAAAGAAAGAAAGAAAGAAAGAGGAAAGAAAAGAAAAAAGAAAATTATGGAGCTATGTTTGAGTACAAAAAATTAGTAATATAAATAATTGTAAGAATATTGGTTCAAGCATACTTTTAAACTAATACAGTTCATGATAAAAAATATTCTTTAAAATTTCATTTCAGTAAATGTTTTTGAGACATTGAATTTCCTTCTGCTTTCCTTTCTTTTTTTCTTGCCTATAAGTATGAGTTCATGGACTTTTACTGTACTCAAAGTTCTGATATTACTGAGAAATATACATGTGTATGTGTGTATCTTTGTAGAAAAAAAGCTTTCATATTTCTAAGTAATAGAAGGAAGAGAAAGCAGCTAGGTGGAGCAGTGGATAGAGTGCCAGGTATAGAGTCAGGAAGATGAGTTCAAATCTGGCCTCGCACATTTACTAGCTGTGTGACCCTGGGAAAGTCTTTTAATCCTGTTGGCCTCAGTTTCCTCATCTATAAAACTGCCTGGAGAAGGAAAAGGCAAACCACTCCAGTATCTTTGCCAAGAAAACCCCAAATGGAGTCATGAAGAGTCAGATATGAATGAAAAATGACCAAACAACAACAAAAGGAAGAGAAATAACAAAAAAGTCATTTTCAGCTTCATTTTCTTGACTATCTTACATTACCATTTTTGTGGTAAAAATTGTATTGCTAAATTTGACTTTATGATTTTGACAATATTAAATGGCTGTATAACCAGCCATTCCAGTAACTAGTGACCTCAATATTAAGGGATTTATTAGCTGTTTGGTCTCAATAAAATTATTATCATCACCTCTGGAAATAATCATTGCCATCACTGTTGAATGTTCCAGATGAGTTAAACAAGCATATTACCTGATACCTTTTCTGTCTCTCTAAACAAGGCTTCAGCAGCTACTCCTTTCCCTTCATGGGTATGAGCGTGGCCATCCATCTTCTGCCTGCTATTTGGTCACCACTGCCCTCATTGTGCTGCTACAACCCTCTCCTCTCCCCATCCCTACTCTACCACATCCTCTCCATTCCCTTTAACTTTGATAGGACAGGATATCCATAACCCTATCTTATCTATTCCCAACACTTGATTAGTAGGGAAAGAGTTAAAAGTGGGTTCTGAGTGCCTCCAACACTCCTATACTGAACACATTACTCTGCCCCCACTCTCTCCTACTATCTCTCTTCCCACAGCACAACATAACAACCCCAAAATGTAGTATTAACTTCTCTAGGAGCTCCTTTAGCTCATTTGAATGGTTGGCAATAAAGTCAATTAAGGTTGCATGCATATTTAGAGATCCAGACATAAGCTTACTTTTTCTTTGCAAGGAAAACAGAAACTAATTCATGTTGGAATTTTGAAAAGCATTGGCATAGTTAATAGATGAGAACCTCAGAAAGTGATCTGTCAGCCTCTGTCTCAAATAGAGACATCTCTACAAGAGACTTTTCACCAAGAAGTTTCTAAATGTGTAGGATGAGCAACGGGATAATATTAGGGAAGAAGAGATCATGACTCAGTCAGTAAAACTGGTATACATTGTGCTGGCTGGACTGGACATTGATACCATTTCCCCTCTGTTTTCCACTGCATAGTTTAGTCTGCAGCCACTAAATAATACACACACACACACATATATACACACCAGTCCTAGTTAACTCTGCTCTGATTAGTACACTCAGAAAAAATATATAAATCAACCTGGTCTAGAGGGTGCTACTTCATAGGCCAATTCTTTGTGACCAGAAAATGTCATATAAGCAGTCCTCAAGCTTAGAGTGGGTTACATTCCTGAAGAAGGCATTGTGAAACAAAACAATGTTAGCCCAACCTGATTGAACTATATAATCAATATTATTTAGTACAGGATTATATCCATGAACTCATGCTCATCTTTTTTGTAGACACAGTCACAAACACCATCTTTAATTGACTATCAATTATAAATCTCTCTACTTAAGCAATAAAGTTTTATGTAGGGCACATTGAATCAGTTATAGAGAGGTACCATGACGCAGTGGGATAATGATGGTGGCTCACATTTCTACAGCACACTAAATTTGATACCCACAGTACCGTTCCTACAACAATCTTATGAGAATTAATACATGTATTATCATCATCATCACCATTATTCTCCTATTGTGCCCATTTTTATAGATGATAAAACAGGTACTAGAGTATTATTGTGGATATCATAATGCCTATTTTACATATAAGGAAACTGAGATTTTGCAAGGCTAAATGAATTGCTTGCTCAGGCTCTTTTGGCTAAGTGTGGGAGGCAGTATTTGAACCCTTTTTTCATGATTCCAATCTCACATTCTAATCCACTTTATATAACATGGCCTGGGAATCATAATCCAGATCCTACTCCTGGCTTTGCCACTAACTTCCCATTTGCCAGTCACCTTCCAAATTCAGTTTCCTTATATGTAAAATGGGGTCAATAATAGCACTTGCCTTCCAGGATTGTTATAAGGATCAAATAAGATAATAATTGTAAAGCATTTAGCACAGTGCCTGGCCCATAGTAAGTGCTATATAAATACTGGCTATTGTTGTTATTGTTTCTAGTTGTTTTTCTCAAGTTCCACCAAGTTCAAAAAGTCTTTCATTCTAGGACAATATAGTAACCAATTCAACAAAATTACAATTTATTAATTCTAGGGATAGGAACTTGGGGAAAGGGAAAAGAACAAGGGATGGGTACTGCAAGTAGTAAGAAAATAACCAGAGGACCTCTAGAAAAGGGATTATATTATGCCTGAGTCCAGGAGCTGAAGAGACCCTGGGAAGAGAGGCTTTATTGGTCAAAGGGGGATGCCCTGAGCTCAGTGATGGAGAAATCAACTGTTCTTGGAGTCACCTTCAAAAGGAGATGGAAAAATAAGTGGAAACAGGTGAATATTCCACCTCCCTCTTATCCCTGATTTCTTTCTTGATCTCAACTCTAAACCCAGTCTTCCTCTTTGCTACTTCCCCCACTGAAGCAGGAAAATGTTACATAAGCTGTCTAATACCTACAACCGCCCAACAAAAGAACATGCTTCACATCCCTCAACAAATTCAAATAGAGTTTTGATGGGTTTCATAATCCAATATCAGTCAAGGATGTTGTAGAAGAGAATTTTTATATCTGTTACATGTAGTATTTATCAATAAATAGATAAACCCTCAGCAGCATCTGTCCACCCTCCCTTCTTTTTCCATCACAATTACTATCACATCTACCCTATGCCCTGCAGATCAAAAGTTGGCCAAAGGAATGAGGAACATCTGGACACCACAATGCATGAAGGATATTTTTTCAAAGCCCCCTAAGTGGACAATATGCACCATTTAAACAATTAAGAATAACCCCTACAATTGTCTGTTAAGAAACCTTTGGTCTTTTATTTTAGAAAACCCTTAAGTTATTCCTACAGTTGGGAAACCACCCAATAGCTGGGTTATACGAGTGATAGTCTGAACTGCTAAGATAGAATCACAGTGATAATAGAGCAGTAATCATAAAAGTGCTCACTGGTACAGTGGACAGAGCACTGGACTTAGAGTGAGAGAGGTCTGAGTGGCACAATGGAAGCTTTCTGAATCTGGAGTTAGAAAGATCTTAGTTCAAATCTGGCCCCAGATACTTATTAGCAAAGTGACCCTGGTCAGGTCACTTGATCTCTGTTTGCCTCAGATTCCTCATCTGTATAATGGGGATAATAACAGCACCTCTGGCCCAGGACTGTTGTGAGGACCAAATTAGATATTTGTAGAGCCCTTGACACAGTACCTGGTGCGTAGTAGGCACTATATAAATTCCAGTTGTCATTACTATTACTTGCATTTGGATCCTGCTTACTGGCTATGTGACTCTGGGAAAACCAGTTAACTTCCCTCAATTTCAGTTTCTTCATCTGTAATATGGGGAGAATAATAGCACCTTTCTTATAGGATTATTGAGAGAATCAAATGATATAAGTTACTATACAGAACTAAAAGTACTATATATATATTAGCTATTATCATTATTATTATCATTGTCATTATCATCAGTGACTACCATAGTGGTGTTAACACTTCTAGAGATAGGGAACTTTCTTAATATTTTCAAGGAATCTTGAAAACTAGTGGAGGCAACAGCATCAAGCCCTGTGGCATTGGCCTGCAACACTCTCAAATGTGGCCCAAACCAGATTAAATTGTAATTGAGAAAAATCTTTCTCATCCAGACCATTACACTAGCCTTATACATGGTCTCTGTGCCTCAGACTTCTTTGCACTCCAATCCATACTCCACACAGCAGCCAAAACAATATTCCTGAAATTCAGCTCTGATCATGTCACTCTCCACTAAGTGAAATCAGTGGTTTGCTGTCACCTCTAAGATCAAACATAAACTCCTCTATTTGCCATTTAAGCCATTTCAGAGCCTGGCCCCTTCCTTCCTTTCCAGTCTTCTTATACACTATTCTTATCCACACATTCTGTCCACCCAGTTGTACTGTTCTCCTCACTGCTTGACACACAGGATGTTCCAACTCTCATCTCCATCCCTTTGCACTTGCTATCCCCCATTCCTGGAATGCCCTCTCCCTCTTACCTCAGTCTCTTGGGTTGTTTTTTTTTTTCTTCCAAGATTCAGATTCAGCATCACCATCTGCATGAAGTCTTTTCAGATCCTCCCGGCTCAGAGTGCATTCCCTTCCAAAATAACATGGTACTCAATTTGTATATGTTATTTGTATATTTAGATACATACATGTTGTCTCGTCCATTAAAACGTAAGCTCTTTGAAGCCAGGGCCTGTTTCACTTTTGTCTTTGTATCTCCAGCATTTAGCACAATAAGTGCCTAATGTGGAAGGAAGGAAGGAAGGAAGGAAGGAAGGAAGGAAGGAAGGAAGGAAGGAAGGAAGGGAGGGAGGGAGGGAGGGAGGGAGGGAGGGAGGGACAGATGGAAGGAGGGAGGGAGGGAGGAAGAAAAAGAAGAGAGGATAAGGAAGGAAGAGGGGAAGGAAGGAAGAAAAGGAGAAAAAAAGAAAAAGAGGAAGGGAGGAGGAAAAAGAGGAAGGAAAAGAGAAAGAGGGAAAGGAAGGAAGGGAGGGAGAAAGGAAGGAAGGGAAGGAGGGAAGGAAGTTTCAGAATCTTTCTTTACCTATGAAGAGAACATAAATGCCCTTAAAGTACTTCATTCGAATAAATTTAAGATGTTTTCTATAAAGCACTTCGAACTATCCAGAAATGATACTGTCATGGCTTGAGAGTTATTTCTAAAATAAGTACCAACTATATGTGTTAGAGACTAGGGAAAGATACATCATTTAGGCAAGGCATAGTCCCTGATCACCTAAAGCTTACAGCCTAGTTGGAGGATGACACAGTCACAGATGATTGAAATGTACAGTATTACATGGTAAGAATGTACCCTTCTTGAAAGTGGTAATTGTATTATTCTTTGTATCTTTGGCACTTCACACTGTACCTGGAACATAGTAGGTGTTTAATAAATTATTTGATTGATTTGTGCACTAAAAAACTATACAATTCTAAGCATTATGATGTATGCTGTATTATCAAATAAAAACTAAAGAATCACATCTTGTATAATAATGTCTTAAAGATTATGCATGGAGAAGTTGAAAGAAGAAAAGTAGAGGAGCAAGATAATATAGTACACAGCAAGTGAAAGTTTGAAAAATGACACATCATTCCAGTTCAAATATCACAGAATAATTTATCTTACTTGTTTCACAATCTTCTCAAATCAATAATTTTCTAGAGGGAGAACCCCAAAATATAACTTCTTACATGCACAGCTTTAAATGTTCATATGTAGCTTGAGGTTAAATATATGAATCAATACATTCATATGTATTCCTAGTGTTTACCATCCTTAAGGTTTTTATTACAGCTCACTAAGCCCACTGGGGTTGCTATAATGCCCACTCTACCCTTTCCCTGACAAAACAACAGAGATTTATTTTTTAAGGTGACTTACTATTCCTATAACAATCAAGGATTTACATAGTGGTTTCCATATTACTAGAGAGATCAAAGCCAGATTCGTTTAAAGTGCTGCAAATGCCCAAATCCTTGCTGGCTATACTGGAATGCAGTCATTCCTTTGGATCATGTAGTGCTGGTATATCATTTCAAAGCATGCTGGAACTGGAGTACAAGGAAAACATGAATTCCTTTTATCCCAATTGCATATCATCATCTTTCAATTGTACTATTTTGATGCATTCTGCAACCAAAGTGGAAATTATATTTCAAAGTAACTGCTTTGAAAGATGTGTTATAAATCTTGACGAGCTTGTGGTACGGTGCATTTTCATTTTGGTGATGTGCGTTATGTATGAATAATAGGCATGCCTCATAAAATAATGTCATGGTATAAAATCAGACATTATTACAGCCAGTAATCTTATGCCAAAATTATTGACACATGGCATTCAGGAATTTAATTATGCCACACACATATAAATTGTTTAATAAAATATAATAGGCTTTATCACCCTTTAAACCTGTTTTAAATCCTAGATGGGAAAAAGCCTCTCTAGATTCAGCCGAGCACAGGTTGCTGAATGCTTTATTAAGTGTAAACATTAAAATATGTAGAAACCTCAGGCACTACAGTTGTCACTCTAGAAAACACAATTTAAGACCTTACCATTTTACTGATGAGCAGCCTTTATTTTTTGTATTAATGTAGACACAGAGAATTATAAGCAGCCACTATTAGAAAAGTGATTTTTCTGATTTTTCCCCTTGGTTATTAAATTGAAAGGTAATCTACCCACGTGACTCAGTGTTTGGTATAAATATATATTATCTCTACAGCTTTTTCTGTGCAATAGTTCACTTATTTATGAATTAATATAGAACCCAAGATGACTAGAGGTAAAATGAAAAAGTCTGCTTTTTCTTGAAATATAGAGAAGCTCCCTTTACCTCTTAGGTGTCCATGCCTGTAAGATGCAATAATATATAAATGTACCTAACTAAACAAAATTCCAAATCCATTCTGTCCATCGTCCCTTTTTCATGATTCCCCATCCCAGTCACATTTAAATTAAAATAGCTTATTTTCTTCTTCCTTTCTAAATAACATGGAAGTCTAACATTCTTAGAACCCGAATTGTTCATCTTAAAAGCCACACTCACAGATAACACATCTTTTCTTTAAATTTTTTGCCATAATTTCCTTTAATATCACCCCTCATCTTACTCATTTAGTGGATTTGCCTATTCAGCTGGAATCTGCTTAGCTGTGCATTTGCATACGGGGAGATGTGGTCCAGGTTCCACAGTGCTCTGAATATCAAACCGTAAAGCCCCTTTTCAAAAGCAAATTCATAAATGCAATCATGCATACCTTTCTGAGTTAGGAGGTGGCTGTGGATTTGGCAGTGCTGACTTGATGCAGTTCTGACAGGGTAGGTTAAGGGATTAAGTCTAGTCTGTCTTCACTTGGCCCTGCCTTTGACATACTCTAAAAAAGTGGCTGGCTGGCCCTGTGCCTACAGTGACCCGTCTATCTCCTCCGAGTGACAACACTTCCCTTTGAGTCTCTCCAAAGGTCAAGCCAGATAACTTGGTGAGTTCTCCCAGATAGTTTCTTATCTGTAGCTCATCCTACTGAACTGTCCCAGAGAAAGAGAATCACGTACATGAGCCAAGGAAGAGCACAGATAACCTGGGGAGGAAGAGCAAAGGGATAAGAAGGGGAGGGGAGAAGAAAATTAGACCCATCTTGATTGAGAATAACTTATGTTATAGGAAATATAGCTGTTATCTCTGCTGGCTTGGGAACCATAATGCCAAACTGTCTGCAAGAATCCCGGAGTTCACCAGGGTCACTGAGCCATTCACATAGACACAATCGAGTGTAGAGCCTCCTTGCTTTCCCCCTCACCATAGTGAGAGTTACATGCATAATTAACTTACATCTCAAGCCAGTTTTTCAATCATGCAAAATGACACTGGCTAAGCAAGTGACAGTGATTTATATGGAAAAGGCACACAATATTGTAATGGGATCTAAAATAGTGCGGGGGTAAAAGTTCCCTCCTGACAACGATGAAAAGACACAACATAATTAGGCATTTAAACCCTCAACCCTTCCATTCGAGACTTCTTGTCCTGGAGCTTTCCACAGAGTTCGTAGTTTTGAGGGTTTTGTTGTTGTTTTTTTTTTTCTTGGTTGCACAGTATAGAGCAGCCCTGCCTCTCTCTCGGTTGAACGAATTACTGACAGATTGCAGTTTGCTTTGTTTAGTCCACATCAGAAATTACTAACACGAAAATTGCCCTTTCCCTGCCTGGAGAAAGATGAGCAACTGCAATCCAAGCAGATGATAGGTATCCCCTCATGCAGGGGAACTGAAGGGACAGAGCTGAGCTGGCAGGGAAGTGTCCACTGACACTTGGCCAAGACCTTAGTATAACTGGGTTGGATTATTTATCTGATAATTCATCCATATATTCAATCATCATTACCATAAGCAGAAAGGGCCAGGAAGGACACATAGAGAACAGCTTCTTTAGATAAAAGCTTTATCTCTTCCAAATGTTCTTCCAACTTTCTAGGAAAATATATAGGTGAGAGGAAAGGAAAACATCTGTTTTGAAACATCTCTTTCTTTGACCTCTACCACAGCACTGGTCTCCTTTCAGATCTACTCTCCTGTGCCCCACTGCTAACATCCTTAGAAGGGAATGCAGTGGACATTTGGGGGATTTTGACCCTTACATAGAGAACTGAAACAAACAAGAAGGATAGACCAGAGACAAGAGCATGCACTTAGATGCTGGAGAGGAGGGTGGGGAATACCACCTTCAGACTACTTTCAGTGGGAGATTATCATAAGGACAATTTTGTGGTTATTGTTGTTGTTGGATCTTGGATCCTATCTGTACAAAGAGCTCTCGGGAAAGGAAACATTCTCTACCCCACCATAAAGTCATGAAGCTCTACTGCAAGGCTGTGCATTGATCACATATTTGGAATATGTATGACCTCATTGCTCAGGAAACCAAATTCTGCTTTATAATGCTTTTTAAGCTAGTATTTTCATGGAAATAATTAAAGTGAGGTGGGATATACCTGTGTTACAGATTACAAACTCACTCTCTCTCTCCCTCTCTCTCTCTCTCTCCACCCCATATATATATATACATATACATATATATATATATATATATATATATATATATATATATGTTTCTATAATGTATATTACAGGTTGAATGCATATGCATATATGTGAATATATGTATGTACATATATACATATGGATACATATATATGCACACACATACACCCTGTATCCACTTAAATTCACAGCAAGTAGTAAGCTTTAGTCAGCACTTCTAAGGTACAGATTTTCTCTGTTAATTAGAATTTGTACACTCTGCCCATTTGATAGAGGTCCTCCACCACTCATCTTCAGGGAGTAGGTAGACCTCTTGTGCTAACTGCTCTGACCCTCTAAACAGCCAAGAAGGATCTTCCAAAGGGAAGTCCTTCCTTCTGCCTCATGTAGATGTAATGGTGGCAGGGAAGTGCATTGGTCAGCACAGTATTTCCAGTTTTAAAAAAATCTAATTTATCCCAATGACCTGTAAGAACACAGTGATATTAAGTACCTATTGACTCTAGCTCCTGAGCAGTTTTAAACAAACCAATTCATACTTAAAGTGGTTATGGTAGCACATGAAGCATGGTGTAAGGACAATGGTTCAACAAGGGAATGAAAGAGAATTTCTTGTTTCAACATTAGAGAGAGTAAAGAAGATCATGTATTAATTAAATAAAAGACTAAATAGGACAAACCTTTGGAACAGGAGACATAACATTTAAGAATAAAATCAACATGGCAGGGTAAAGGTCGGAGAAGATCAAGTAAGACGCTAATAGTTGTGCTTTTTCCATTTTCTTATCGATCAATATTATGTTTTTTTTCTAGCTAAAATGCAACAGCAGAGTTATTGCTGACCTTTTCCTCACCCTTCCATTGTGTATAAAATCACAGCAAAATAACAAATGACTTTATAAGCTGCAGAATTTTTCTGACCCAAACCCCTATGTGTGCTGAAATATTTCTCAAAATCTGTTTCTTCCAAGGATGGGAAGAACATGCTTTTCTCCTAATTAGGTCCCTGAGAATGTCTTAGCTTTCACCATAACAACAAAAATCATCCATTTAAAAATGTGTTTCACAATATTTGCCAGTTGTGGTATAAGAAGTTTTTGATTTTCTTTTAAAAAAAGTTGTTGACTAAGTTATTCTTACATAGTGTACTTCAATCTCATACTAATGCATACATAATATAAAGATTAATGTCTACAGAAGCAATGGATTCTGAATCAAAGCTTCATTCATCTACAATTAAATGGATCATGCTTTCTCCATCTGAGAAATAATTTAGGCTGCTGTCCAAAATACTTCTTAAGAACTGTCCAAAATAGGGAGAAGTCCCACATCATGAGTAGGAACTTAATAAAGCTTTCAATAAGAAATATTGCTACTCTCTTCCAACAGACATGGGAGAAAAAAGAAAACTGGGTATTTGATAGTTTCTCTTTTTAAAGGCTTTAACCCAATTTAATTAAAATTAAGAATATAAGCATTCTGATGTATATTCTTTCTGTGTGTTTGTATGTGTGTTTCACTAATTCCACTGAAAACAAGATGCAGAAACCACACTATAGCTTTTATTACCATAGAGTAAAATTGGGTGTGATTCAGATCCTATACAAGGGGATTTAGTCACTGAAGGAGGAATGGGATCCCAGGGTTTTCCTTATAAGGCAGTCTGATGGCATGGACCCCAAGGACAATGTCCTGATGAGGCTCCAGGCTAATTTGAAAATTGTTTTCTATCATATACATAATGGAGGTTTTGTGGTTGGTTTTCAAAGCTGAATTCATACATCCCCATCCAATTTGAATTAGCTATAGTATTTTCATGCTCTAACCAAACATGGCTCTAACCAAAATAATAGCTGGAAATTATGAATGTGTAGCAAGTCTTTTCAAAATCAGAGCAATTTTTAAGGCTACTTCCCTAATGCAGGAAAAGTTAATGGATTTCTATTTTAATAAGTCTGTGAGTAGTATCTAATTCTAATAAGGAAAACACGTCAAAATATTTGTTATCCAGGAGATTCTACCAGACATATTTCATTTGGTTCCCAGCTGTCACATCTGGGTCTCTCCAACATATCCTAAGGGTGATGGGGTGGAGTCTCAGAAAAAGCAGAAATACAACCCGACCTCTGTCTGAATAGCCTTATCATCACCAATAGACCTGAGTAGAGGGTATGCCAAGGATATCCAAGCATGCCCCAATATTACAATAATAGTCTGGTATTTTACGTCTCATTTTTTAACATTTGTATTTTAAAATAAATTTTAGTTGATAATTTAAAAATAAATTTAGGTAAGCCTTAATTTTGTTTATTTGATACAAAAAAAAATTATGTGTGACTGATTGTTCAATCAATGTTATCCTTAAAATAAAATGTAAGAGAAAAGGGAAAATTACCTTGGTAACGAAATGTGCATTGTAGGCATACTCATCACAGGCTCGGTCCTTACAGGAAAACTGACCTCTTACCATTAGGGAAGATACCAAACATGGTCAAAGCACACAACACAATTGGGGAAGGAAATGGAAACATAATTCACTCTTCCTACAATTCACATTTGCTGTGAAAGATGTACAAAGGTGAGTGTATGTGTGTTATGGAAACTTTCTAGGAAACTCAAACAATGCAACCACACCCTTGCAAATCCCCAGGGGTTACCTGAATCTGACTTTCCCTTTGCAAGCCTCAAAATCTGCCTACAAGCAACAAGCTCATGGCCATTCTCAGTATCCACCAGCCAGCCAGTAATTGTCTGTCCCCAGTCCTCCTTAAAAGTCTCAGCTCCTGCCAGGTCGGAAGGTCTCCAGAATGGCAGTTCAGTTGTTCACAATGTATTTCATCTGGTTCCCATAGGATTTTCCTAATTACAATGCTAATACCAGTGACTACCTGATATGTCTAAATTAAAAAAAAAATCTTGATTTTGTGAGTATTTTAAGCATCAGTGTTATTTATAAAGATAAAAGGGATTGCTTTTTCTTTCTGTTTTTTTTTGGGGGGGGTTGTTTGTTTGGTTTTTGGTTAGGCAAACGGGGTTAGGATTTAAACTCTAGTCTTCCTGAATCCAGGGCCGGTGTTCTATCCACTGTGCCACCTACCTGCCCCCTGCTTTTTCTTTCTGAAAGGGTTAATGTGTTACTAGGGGAAACTTTGTATTTACAATATTGTACTTTGCTGATTTTTTGTTTCCATTTTAACAAATGAGATTATAGAACTGGCTTGTTTTCACTTTTAAAAAACAGCAAACATAAACATTCTCACCGACACACAAATTTATGAATTTCAAACAAAATTAGCTGTAGCAAGACTTTCCCTATTGACTTCTATTATAAAATTAGATATATGCTATCAAAGAAAATTACAAAGTCAAAGTAAAAAAAAAGGTAACCAAAAAAGATTTTGTAGTACTGAAAGTGATTCTCTGACAATTTCATAACTTTTAAACACTTTACAACAGAGACAGCCCCCTATTGTGAATAGTACATAGTCCTTTTGTGCTATGTAGAAGCAAGAGCTACAGCCAAGCTAAGGGAAACTGTAGCAATAGAGAAAAACACATGGAAATTAATTGACAGGGTTGATCAAGGTCAGGAGATCAGTCTGAGCTGGGATATACATAAGTATTAAGGGCCAGCCAGGTGAGAAACTAGTGATAGATGAGGAGTGGAAATAGCTGGTGTCTCGGATTAGACAGATAGCAGAATCCAGAGTCAGGGGGTAAGTCAAGAACCAAGAAGGCAGGAGGCACGAATAGGCCAGGAGAGAGGTATGACATAAGACTCAAGCAAAGCCTGCTCATTAAAAGCAGCTGTTTTGTTTTGTTTTGTTTTTGTTTTCAGTGTGCAATGACTCTATATGTAGATTGTCTAAATATCCAGGCAAGCTTGGCTCAAAGGTGGAATGGATATGAGAAGGTCAGAGTAGCAGAAGAGTCCGTTGCTGCCAACACCCTCAGCATACTAGCTGGAAGAAGAGTCTTTGTACATAAAAGAGTAGTTATAGCTTTTCTAGATATTCATGGGGGTGGTCATTGACTTTTTTGCCCACCAAATTGATAATTTTGCTATAATTTAAAGCATTTAGTCATCATGGATTACTCAGCTTGGGAAAATCCTATATGAACTAGCAAGCAGTTAGGCAGCCCCAGCAACCACAGGCAAGCTTCAGCAATAAGGGAGAGGCACGCTGGTGTTTGCACAGCCTATAGGCGGCAATCAGCTCTATCAGCTGGAAGCCTCCTCTCCCTGCATGCGAGCAGGCTGCTTCAGGCAGCATGTTTTCATATAGCATCTTGCTGAGGCCGTGTCAGACCCTGTTAAGAAACAACTCCCTCTGCCCAAAGCAACCTGCCTGGAGCTTCCCAAAATGTACCACAAGTTCAGACACCAAAAGGTTAAGAATTTCCCAAAGCCTTGGAGTTGTCAGAATGGAAAAACTAGCCTCTCTTTTCCTTTGGTCCATTAATGCCACTGAGCCACAGTTCTTTGGGCTATTTTGTGAGTTTATAACCACATTAAGTTTAATATCTTTAATAACTCCATCATAACAGCAACCAAATTTGTGCAGCACTTTAAGATTTACAGAATGTTATATCTACACCGTCTCTCTGGATGTCTGGAACAATTCCCATTTTAGAGATGAGGAAACTAAAACCCAGAGAATTTTCACTGACCTGCCTACTTGAAGCAGGAGCAGAACTTGAATCCAGGACTTGGCCAACTGAGAGTTCGGTGCTCTTTCCACTAAACGGTGCTGCATCTCATAAAAACAAAAAAAAATCATATATACTCACATACTGGTAGTTTTCTTGAGCTATAAACAAAATGATCAAAAAAATGGTAGCATAATGGTGAGTGAAGACTAATTTATTGAAACATCCAATCATAGATGGTATCATAGAACATTAGCACTTGAAGCCCCATTTTACAGATGAGGAAACTGAGGTTCAGAAAAGTTGAATGACTTGTCCGATGTCATCCAAATATTTAATGACAAAGCCTGGACTAGAATGCAGTTCAGCACTCTTTTCACCCTTATATTAACAACATTCTTTGGGTGCCTACTATATACAGATCTCTGTATTTGGGCATTTTGAAGACAAGTTAAATTTGTCTTACAGATTCCTGGGCATAGAAATATAAGTAGTTTGTCTCACACCATGACTTGTGATGTGTCCCTTTAGTGTCATCCTTTTAAAAGAAAGCATGATAAAATACTGAATATGAATCATATTTCTTGAAAAAACTTCAGGAACTTTGACAACCATTCTACTGCATTCATCGTAAGATTATAAGCACCTTGAAGTTAGAGACCGTCTTTTGCCTCGTTTAGTGTCCCCAGTGCTTAGTACAGTGCCTGGCATATAATAAAAGTTTATTTAATTGAACTCAATGCCCTAAAAAAATCCTGTGGCAGATACCAAAGAAATAGAAAACACACCTGCCCTTTCAGGACTTATACTCTATTTTGAGATACTAGATATCTGCCCATGAGAAATGAAAGAATGATTCTAAGCCAACAGATAAATTAACACCTGGTAGCATGGGACAGGTCACAGCCATAATTACTGAGGGAATATAAAATGTGGGACAGATCATTCTTGGATGAGGCTTATCAGGAAACTTGTGTCAAAGGAATAGGACTTTGCTAAGCAGAGAGTTTGATTTGGGATACCTTTACGGGTTACATTTTCATATAGGCTAAATGTCATATAGCTAAATGTGCTAAACTTTTTTAGCAAACTTGGCTGCTATGTATAGGTTTTAATAACCAAAATGGATTGCCGCACAATCTGTTGTAGGTACAGTTCTAATGCCAGCACCCTCTTAGTTCAGTTTCAATGGAAGGATGAAATGAGGCACTCGCAAGTCACTGAACATATAACAAAGGAGGAAGTTTGCTTTGCCCTAACACAGAAAGGAGATATGGGGCAGCTCAGTAGCAGTGGCATAGTGGATAGAGTACTGGGCCTGGAGTCAGGAGGATCTGAGTTCAAATGTGGCCTCAGATACTTGCTAGATGTGTGACATTGGGCAAGTCATTTAACATTTAACCTTGTTTGCTTCAATCTGCCTCATCTGTAAGCTGGAAAAGGGAATGGCAAACCACTCCAGTATCTTTGCCAAGAACATTCCAAATGCCATCTTGCGTAGTCAAACACAATTAATTGACATAACAATAACGAAGCAAGGAGAGACAAGAATACAATGGCACTTAGCTTTCTTAGACATGGGCTTCCCCGTTTCCATATGGAAACTGCTTACCCAGTAAATCATCAGAGTATAGCAACTCAAGAAGTCTCAGGCACCCACCAAGTCTGAGAGGCCCCAACCACATACACTTGGGACCTTTCATGCCCCAAGACCAGAAAGCTGAGTCAGGGAACCTGGGACAAATCAAGTTGCTTAGAGTCAGGGAAGCTGCCTCAATAGGCAAGTAAATGCTTTTCAAAAGCAACAAAATGAGTGGTTCCTCTGAAGACCTTGGAGCTCCAGAGGCCTAACAGTGGCCTGTTCTGGCCAAGGCTCCACTCAGCCTGGCCTTTGTGGACAGAGACCTCCAGAAACATCTCGCAGGGTAATAAAGGCCAAGAGAGAGATTGCTGGACAGCCTGCTTTACATCTTCCAGGACTGTAGCCTGTTTTAAGCCAGACTTGAAAGACCCTAACTTATGGGTGACTCAGTATATGGGGGCCCTCAGGATCCGGGTGGGAAATATTGGTTTTATAAAATTGGAAGAGTCCAATAAATCTCTAGGCTTCCTTCTTAGATCATGGGGGAAGCAAGCACCAATAGCTTAATCCAGACTGTGCCTAGAATCCTCTGGGCTTTTCTGCCCACTATATTCCCCAAACTTTCCTGAGAAGGCTGGAACCTGGTGTTTCCCAGGATTAATTTCCCACTACTTGTCCCTCTTGGCAGCCACTATCTAATCTAGGGCATCTGCCATTTTTGCACAAATTAACATTATCTGGGTTTTAGTGTTGTTGCTGTTGTTGTTAAACATTTCCCAGTTACATTTTAATTTGCTTCTGTGGCACTCAGGAATTTTGCAGGTCCAATTTGTTACCAAATCTGACACCAATGCCCCCCAGGAAAGGAGGCTTCTTTCAGGAATCTTCTTACCACCATAATATGGAAATAGGAAGGAGAGTTCAGGTAGCCCTAGGGAAGGATGGCAAAGGTATATTGGACTCGTTCCCAGGTGAAAGCAAATTGTCCTGAATAATCTCAATCAGAGAAATAGAGAAAAAAGAATTATTGAGGTGGACGGCCCCATACCACTAACTCTATGTCAGGACTACTGGTCTACAACATTGACAAGATCACTAACAGCTGCAGAGATAGGCATAATGACTTTGTTCAGCTCCCTACCATCACTGTAAGCTGCCAGCTACCATCTGCTTTCTTCACAGATTTACACAGGGTTGCTGCAAGAGGATATGGAATAATAAAGTACTCCAACTTCCTTCATCTCCATCACTAGAGAAGAAATATCCTTCACTCCCTGGGAGACATAGGAGCATTATGGCATTAACTATGTAGAATGGCTCAGGTAACCATTAGGAAACCAGGGCTTCCATTTGGCCCCATCCACAATAACATGACTGAAAGTTGCTGAAAGGGCCTGCACAAATATTGAGCCCATAGCACCTTTCCCTCCATGCATTGTACTCTGTATCCTCCCTTGAATGATCCAGATGGGACAAGGGCTTTGGTAAGGCTGAAGGGCCCCTAGTGCTCTGGTGCTTAATTTCCCAGTATAGCTTACAAACACTCCCATTGACTGGCCATAAATTACTTTCTTATCAACCTATATTCTAGATGCCTCACCTAAATCTCCCTCCTGGAGAAGTTCTCATCTTCTATTGCCCACCCAATAGGGTAGCATCCTCATTCTCTCTCATTCTGAGAGTGTCTATTGCACTGACAGCAGTATTTGCTCAAGCTACAACAGTCACAATATTTTGTTCAAATCTCACCCACCTCTTCAGCCTACACTTAATGGTTATGTGGTTGGGTAGACCTATAGCTAAAGACTGAAGGTGAATGATGCAGCTCCACCCAGGAGAGATCTAATTTTCTCTAAAATAGGTTGGGCATAGAGTGTGGCAGGCTGGGGGGAGGGGGGGGACAGTGAATAAAATCTATCAAATCCATTTCCTTTAGGAAATTTCCTCCCTCCTTTACAGATCTCCTTCCTTGAGCTGGCTGTAAAGGGAATTCATCTTTACAAGGCCAGGTGCAAAAAATTCCCCAACTCAGCCACCTGAAAAAGGGCAAAGAGCATATCCGTTGTGGAGGCTTTAACAAATTTGGTTGACTCTATAAAAGAAGACTCACAGAGTGTTCCCCTAGGCCATGGAAGACTAAAGCATAGAGCCTTTCAACACTGACTCCATTAGATCAGACCCTCAGGAACCACTGCTTCAGGGTCTGCTCCTGTTTCTGTTTGAACATGTCCTGCAATCACCTTAGCTCTTTGGTAAGAAGGATCCCTTACAGTCTATTTCCTCCAAACATGGAATCACTGCCTTCCTTCCAGGAGCAGGGTTATGATAAGCCTGAGGCTTGTTAAACCATGGGTGGGAATTCTCCAGTCTCTGCCCCAAGGCTGCTTTCCTTCTCTGGTCTCAGGGCTCCTATATCAGCAGGAACTAGAACCTCTTGTCATGGACAATAGACTGGGGTCCCTTGATCCCCAACCCCATCAAGAGGGTTTTCTTCACTTGCCTGGCTACCAGCTCCACTATCTCTCCTTCATTGTATGGTCCCTGAAAGATAAGAACACTATCTCTAGCTACTAAATGTACCAGCCCAATTTATTTGCAGTCTGACTGCACTGCCAGTCCAATTTATGCAGTACAGTCAAGAACAATAACAACCAAGGAATGCTGATACTGGCATTTTCTTTACCTGCCATGAGCAGCCTGCTCCAGAATCTACTGAGCTAATCCATCTGCCTGAGCAGGAGCCTACTGCTAGTGCTACAGAGAGGGGGAATCACAATCAGAAGGGCTCCAGAGACAGGGAGCCAGGCAGTGTCCCATCATCTGATCAGATAACCTTCCTTCTTGCTATTTGATGGACTCTTCCCCCATTTCACCCATGAAGTGAGCCAAGACCTTCTCTTCTCATCCCAACTTGCCAACACTATGAGGCTCTAAAGTCAGCCCCCTCTTAGTTCAAGTTCAATAATAGGACAAAATAGAACATTCAAATCACATTTTTGTTTTGTTTTAATTTTTGCTTTGTTTTATTCATTTTCCCTCTGGCACTTCCACACTAGGAAGACTGTCCTGTAAGACTTGAGATTGGATATGGAAGATAAGGGATAATGAAGAGTTAAGGAGGTTGTGAAGCTGAGGGACTGGGAGGATGGTTTTGACATCAACAGTAATAGGGAAGTTATTGGAGGGGGGAGGTTTTGGGGGAAAATATAATGAGTTCTGTTTTGGACTTGTTGCATTTAAGATGTCTACTGGACATCTAGTTTGAGATATTTGAAAGGCAAGTGGAGATGCAGGATTGGAGCAGGATAGGTAGATTTGAGAATTGTTGGCATAGAGATGGTAATTAAACCCATAGGAACTAATAGAGAGGTAGAAGAGAAGAGAACCCAGGACAGAACCCTGTGGGACACCTACCATTAATAGGTGTGATCTGGATGAAGATGCAGCGAAGGACACTTTGTAAGATAGGAGAACCAGGACTGAGTTGTGTCCTGAACACCTAGAGAGA